TATATAGGTATATATGTACGGTATGTATGTATGTAATTACTGTATTACACGTATGATTATATAATGATATATACTATATATATAGTATATGTATAATATGTAATATATATACTATATCTATTTAGTCTATATATATATACTATACTATCCTATTTATACACACACAACACACATCACACACCCCACACACATGACACACACACACAGTCACTACACACTACCAACACGCCATAGTACCCACACACACACACGCACCACACCAACCACACACCGCACATCACCACACACACGACACCACACACACACCACTACACACACACACACACAAAAATATACTAGTATGTTATTATATATCATACGTATTGAATATAGCTATGTTATGTTCATGTATGTTATCTATACTATACATACATACATATATATATATATATCCATATGATAACTTATATAGATATAGTATATGGATTATGTATATATATATATATATATATTAGATATAATATATTTTACTATAACTATATTATATTATCACCCAACCACAGACACACACACATCACCACTTCATTACACACACACGACCACCACACACATCATATATATTATATAATATACTATATATAGTATAATACCAATTATCTTACATGTATATATAATAAGAAAAAAAAAAAAAAAAAAATAATAAGATAGAGAAAAATAAAAAAAAAAAAAAAAAAAAAAAAATGAAAAAAAAAAAAAAAAAAAAAAAAAAAAAAAAAAAAAAAAAAAAAAAAAAAAAAAAAAAAATAAAAAAAAAAAAAAAAAAAACAAAAAAAAAAAAAAAAAAAAAAAAAAAAAAAAAAAAAAAAAAAAAAAAAAAAAAAAAAAAAAAAAAAAAAAAAAAAAAAAAAAAAAAAAAAAAAAAAAAAAAAAAAAAAAAAAAAAAAACAAAAAAATAAAAAAAAAAAAAAAAAAAAAAAAATAAAAAAAAAAAGTGTGTGTTGTTATGTGAAATAAAAATAAAAAACAGAAGTGCAAAAACATGTTCTGTACAGATATTACATATTCTCTTAACAATCAAAAAATAAAAAACAATCCTCAACACACACCAGCACAACCATTCCACACACATAATGACACATAGCACACGCACACAACACACACCCACATTATAGTAACAAATATTATTATTATTATATATATATATATATTTTATACAATACATAGTTGTAGTAAATCACTAAATAAATAGTATAATTATATTATAATTAAATAGTATTATATATACATATATTACATAGGTATCTCTTTATTATCTTATTATATACTTGATCTGTATACCTTATAAGTAATATATACATTACTATGTATAAATATACATCATATAGTTATATAATATATTATTAATTGTATACATTATATATACTATACATTATATATATATATATAACCATGTTAACACTCCTATACATATACATTCATAGTATCATATAGATATAACTTTAATATTAATATACGTATACCATAGTTATATGTATTAACAGTATTAATATGTATACCAGCATGGTGTGTTTGTAGTCTATGTGTGCGTTCCCGTTGATCTGCCGCGGGGGCGAGGGCGTCCGCGAGCCTCCGCCTCCCCCAGAGACGCCAAGCGACCGTCGCTCTGTTGGCGCGTCCGAATCCCGCGACGCAAGCGACGCCTCCAGCGTCCGATCTCGCTCTGTCAGCGCGTCCGAATCCGCGGCGGACCGAACCGTCGCCCTCTGTCCAGGCTCCGAATCCGCGGCGACGACGAGCGGCCGAGGGAAATGGTCGCGAATTCGCTCTGCCTCAGAAGGGCGTCGCATAATACACTCCTGCACAAGGTGACATTTAGATTTCCGAATTTCAAGAAAATGTCATAATAGTACATTAGTGAAATATATTTATTTTTTTACTAATAGAATGTATCTATTGGATCCCCGCCCCATTCCCTTGCGTAAAAAAACCCTACTTACATGTATGTGCATAAATGTTAATTTTTCCGTATATGATACCATTTTACAATGATTATCAAAAGAGTTATCAATGCCATCAGACAGAGGTAAAATGTGATCTATGGTACCATTCTGTGGAAAGTAAAAAAAAGTACCTGTAGCACGCCCTCGTATTTTCATTCCAGATCCGGTACCTTCAGTCACGGCGTTTTGGTAGCGTTTATCACCCCCAGGTATGCGGTATGACTGTCACAATGCGTTGTTAGTTAGTCCCGGCAAATAACTATATGAATATATTGTACATATAACTCTACAGACCGTGGGCTTTCGTTGGCGCTGGCTGCCATGTTTCGCTGAGATAAAGGGAAATAGGTAGGTAAACACAGACGTTTGTCGAAGAAAGTCACGTAACGATTTCGCTTATTACAGGTCAAAGGTCGTAGGTACAGGAACATTGCCTGACTTTCTTCCATAAGGATTTGGTTTACACTATAACGTTTCCGCCACCGCCTTGCCCACGGCTCTGTCTTCATCACTCACTGTTTTATGAGGTGCCATGCAAGCTGTTGGTCGTGCTGACTTGCGTAAGGCGTAGATTGGCATTCATTTGGGAAGAGAAGATTTTTTCGTCATTCCAAGGTGAAAATAATGTGATGTTAAAACATCTGATAAAATAATGAAGGTAATGACAGCTATGGCCAATGAAAAGTGATGACGATGGTAATGACATCAACAAAAATTATGGTAATAATACTGATACGAATAATTATATTATTATTATTTCTGACTGCTTCTACCGCCACTATTGTAACTAATGATAATGATAATGATGACATAAAAGATGATAATGATACATTTTTCTATGTGATGAAAATAATGATAACGATTCTAATCACACTGATAAAAGTCCATAAATATAATTGAAACGTTACCACTTCGCAAGATGACATTGGCAACAATCACTCAACTGTCAGCATTACCAACAACGCAAGCTATGGTAAAGACCCTTTTTTATTATAACTTGTATGTGGATTACTATGATTACATTATGACCATTTCATTGGCATAATATGTCATTATGATATGTTGTTGCCATAATATATTCTATTGTGTTGAAAAGGATACGTGCATAATATTATCTGCCGTTGTAGCCACCTTTCAAATCTTTCTTGAAAATGTGTAAAGGTTATATGTATCTCTTCGTTTGTCTGTTTGAATATCGTTTGTGTTATCGTTTTTACTGATGATGAAACCTATACGTTCTTAGTATAGTAAGTTATATCTCCATTCCTTGGTTGTTATTTTTTAAAAGAATGTTTATTGCAGTCAGTAGATTATATTGTTAATGCGTTTTCTCGCTCGTGTTATGCATGTAAGTTATTGTCTGTATCAAGAGCTTCTTTTATTTATACATCTGATTTATGTCGTAAAATATAGTAAATGATACCTAATAAGGTTTGATTTTCTTTTTTTCTATTTATTCTTCTTCTTGTTCCGATTTTTATTTTTTGTATACATGAATTTCCTTCTTGCTCGAGTGTATTTCTTGTAACCGAGAGTTGAATTCCGCTATGTCATTTCACAGTTTATTTATTCTAATTTGTTTGTTTTGTTCTGAATATTATTTATCCCATTACCTCTTTATGGCTGGTACCATAAGGCATATCTTATTTCACTTCATTTCACCTTAGCAGTAGATTCATGTAACCCTTCCAGCACTTTTCACCATTCACTCTCTCTCTTTTGCTGGTAGTAAAAAGTTCATTATTTTCTCTCGGTTTTCCTGAACTGTTGGCATGTCCGTCTTCTGTTTTCAATTCTGTTTTAAGAATTTGATGGAGTTTTTATATGTATATATCTATTTTGTTGTTGTTTATTTTATTCATCCTGTTTTATGTAGTAACGAGTATTTAGTAAACCATGAAATCATTTAGGGGCTAGGCATTTTTTGGTTTTTGTTTTGGTATCGTACTGACTAAATTCTTCAGCCGCATTGAATCAGTTATTCATTGTGATAAGAAATCTGATAGTTTTTAATAATGTAAAAAAAAAGAAAAAAAATGGAAGCCTTTATAATGAATTTAATGTCATTCACCCAATATTACTTGCCGAGCACAAATATATCGTGTATATGTAAACCAACCAAACTGTAAAATAACCGTATAGATTAAACAGGAAAAATGAAAAGTTATTTTGATTTCCCTTATACTTTCCATTTCTGGTAACGACGCTCTGTATGCGTACGAAGAATAATAAATGTATATTGCGACATCACTAAGAAAACATGAGGTTTTAATACTTTCTCTCTCTCTCTCTCTCCTCTCTCTCTCTCTCTCTCTCTCTCTCTCTCTCTCTCTCTCTCTCTCTCTATATATATATATATATATATTATATATATATATTATATATATATATATATATATATAATATATAATATATTATATATATATAATATATATATATACTCTATTTATTCTTTTTCTATCCTCTCTCTCTCTCTCTAATTTGATTTAGTTTTTACTTTTCTGTGCTGAGTCAACTTTGATTTATCTTCGCGACAATTTCTTTTTCATTTCATTATCAAAATGTAAAGACAAATCACTAAATTGTAAGTAATAAATAAAATGAAAGTATATAAAACTGAAGAAAAACAAAAACAACAATAAAAATCATGGAAAATACCCCTATAAGAATAAAAGTGTACAAATGAAAGAAGAAAGCTATATTCATCTTTATTATATACAAGTACAATGCCATAGTAATGGAAAAACAACTTACCAATAGACATTCTTTTATATAAAACAATGCAAAATTATAACAAAGATAACCGAGACACGACTTCCATGGCCTCGGATAAGCAGGCACATATACATATTTTTTTGGAAATTTAACTTTTTTTCCCGATTTTTATACATAATTATAAAAAAATAATTCTTCATCCAATTTCATCACTTAAGAATTAGAAAGGAAATGTACACACCACCTCACGAGGGATTTTTTTTTTTTTTGGCTCTCACCGTAACTCTGCAACAGGAAATCAACACAAGAAACTGTGATCGTCTTAAAACCTACAGGAAGTGAACATGAAGGAAGTATAAGACTGTTCACCGTCTTCTAAGCATGCATTACCGTACAGTACATGTACATACAAAGGAGGAATTATTACATTTTTGTACAAAGGAATGAGACCAATTTTCTTCAGAATTTTGCTTTCGAAATCACATAATACAATTAAAAATTTTCACAAGAGAATTCTAGAGAGTATATTCGGAAATTCTGGGATAATCGAGGAATTTTAAAAGCTTACATTTTAAGAATCTTGCAAGTTGTATTCGATAAAGATCATAAGCGCTGATATAGAAACATTTAAGTAGAAATTCTATCTAAATTTTACGTTAAAGTGACTGCCTTATAAAAAAATGGAGACTTCTGGAAATAATACACAATATCGAGGCAATATATCGAGTTGTGAGAATGGAAATAAATATTGACATTTTCCAAAATGCTTGCTTGAAAAGGGGCATTTACATCATCAATAACAATATAATAATAATAATCATGATAATGCATATGTGTGTATGTGTGTGTGTGTGTGTGTGTGTGTGTGTGTGTGTGTGTGTGTGTGTGTGTGTGTGTGTGTGTGTGTGTGTGTGTGTGTGTGTGTGTGTGTGTGTGTGTGTGTGTGTGTGTGTGTGTGTGTGTGTGTGTGTGTGTGTGTGTGTGTGTGTGTGTGTGTGTGTGTGTGTGTGTGTGTGTGTGTGTGTGTGTGTGTGTGTGTGTGTGTGTGTGTGTGTGTGTAAATGTTGAGTGTGAGCGAGTTGATAATGAAACGAATGAATGAATGGATGAGTGAATGAATGGTATGCGAGCATGTATGCAAGTGTACGTAAAATATTTTATATACATATATATTTCATAATACTGTGAGCCATATCCCTAAAAAGACCATTAGTAACATAAGCCCACAGCAGAACTTTTACATATTGAAGTTTTGTGTAAGTATCAATAGCAGAATCAACTTTGGATTCACATTCTTTTTAGACACAGGATTTTCTATCTAATTCTAAGTCAGTACCTTTGGTTTTTTCACACAGGCCTATATCCTATGACAAATTTGGCACACTAGCACACTTGCAAAATTGAGATCAATGTAAGACATTGCCTAGAATTTGTTGCATGACTAATCGAAATAGCAGCGAAGAGTTAAGTATTTTTTTTTTTTTTTGCGTACCACATACATATTGGCTAATTTCTCTTCTACCGCTCATTTAGCTTCTGGTCAAGGGCGAAAGAACTTGAATAAATGCAAGTGCTGAATCTGTCACTGCCCAGATGATCTTAACCTATGAAATAATTTGCTACCTGATACCAATTTACGTTAGCATCTGGGCATTCTAAGGATTCCCTATTTACAAATATACCTATATACACGATCTGCAATACAAGTTTGCACACAGAGGGTTTATCTATCGACTTATTTCCTTCTTTGGTCTACAAAAAATATAATGGATAAATACAACCATAGGCTAACCAGATTCCTACATCCCTATAATATATGTTGCTTGAAAAAGTGACTGAAAATAATAATAATTTCTTTAAAAGAAATGTTTATAGCAATATTTTATTTCTCTCATTGCCATCAATGGAAGCTAAAATCAACTAGACTTGATAAGTAAAGTACATACATAACCAAGGAATGATACACCATATATAATTCACTAATGTTCATTCACCATCTGAGTTTTAATGTTACGAATATTAACAAAATGTGTTGGATACTTTTTAAAAGGAACACATCATTGAGCAGCTTCGTTTTGGTGTTTTCAAGTAATAATCACCTAGATTTCTCTTTAAATTCTATGCAACTTGAACACCAATATTACATCATTACACACCCACTACAATAGAGAAATATTCAGAAGGTTTAATACACAAGGCAGTGATACACTCGAACGACACAGTTCCCATACTTACAGAAACAAGTACTTTACAAAGTTGTCTGTCCTGATATGTGCAACACAGTACATCTACAAAGTACAAGACAGCGCGAGTAACAGCATCCTTCAGCACCTGTTAAACCCAAACAATTTGATGAAAAAGTGACGATAACTTGACTTTCACTTTCACAGTGTCGGATTTTTTTTTGTCTCGAGTCAGAGTTCACCAGGTTTTATGGACGGCTCTGGGCATTATCCTTGGCGATTGATAATTGCGAGAATGGTGTCACTTTTCACTTGTACTTTCACACGGTTTGACACACTAAGACGTCCTATACAATTTTACACGGGATTCCTACACGTTGGTATTGTACTCGGACTCGCGAGGAACGTGCCGAAAGCTGCCGGAGCTAAATCTGGGCGCGGCTCCCGACGAGACGCGGAGGCTCACCGACCGCCCGACGGGATTTCTCACCATGTTGGGGCCGTAGATGCTGTTGGAATCCCCCAAGTGGCCGTAGAGCTTCTGGCTGTTGGTCCGACCGTATATATCTTGCATGGAGCTCTGCTGGGGAACGCCCACTGGCATGGCGCCCTGGGGATGGGCGGCAGTGGATCTGGGGGCCTGAGGCAGTCTGTGGGCGAGTGCGGCCCGGGGGTCGTGCGCCCGTAGATGCCTGTCGTCACTCGGGAGTGGAGCGGACGACGGGTTGGGCGCGTAACCGTTGTGGGGTCTCTGGCCGTAGATGGGCTGCCCCGGGGAGAAGGCCGCGGCGGAGTGGGCGGGGATGGGAGAGTTGCTGGAGCTGTTGCTGGCGCTGCTGGCGTTGGCACTCCCGCTGTGGTAGCCGCTGGAACCCGTCGACTGGCTGCTGTTGAAGTTATTCTGGGCTTCCGCCAGCAAGTCCTCGTTGTTCTTCTTCTTCGACTCCTGCTGCTGGTCTGTGAAGGATGTCAGAGATCGGGTCCCGTAGATTGGGTCTACGGGGGGCTTGATCTCCTGCGTCAGGTTCCTCTGCCTGCGAATGACCACAGTGGCCTCTGCAGCAGGGTACAAGACGGAGCTCGGCACGGGCGACACTGTGCCGGCCGCGGACAGCAGTCCTCCTCCGGCTGTGTATCCGTAAGGACTGCCCGGGGAGGAGCTATGCGGCGGCCGCTGCATGGACATGGCCTTCGGGGGGGTCAGCACCTGGTTGGGTCGGGGGCAGCTGCGTCAGGTCGTCCACGCTGTTCGACCTGGAGGACAACGATGATTCAATGAGTAAAGTATTGTATTTATCTTTTTAAGAACAGATTATAATTCACCATATATAGCACAAGACTTAAAATGCCCAAGAAACAAACTCACCTGTTCCTCATCAAGTCAGTGGCCCCGGAGTGCACTCCCGACTCCTCTGAGTTCTCCGGCGGCGTGTTGGAGGAGGAGGTGGAGACTGAGTCACTGCGCTGAGACCGTTCCTCCTGCACCATCCCTGAGTCGTTGCTCCTTGTGCTGCGTGGCGTGAGGGGACCCTGGAAAATACACCAAGATATACTAACTGTTCGCTTTCAAATGGATCTCAATTGAGTATATACAAAAACGAGATAAAATGCTCGTAACACATAAGATTTAAGCTCCGCGCACCTGCGTGTCTAGCTGCGCATCTGCAGGTGGTCCTCATAATCGGGCACCGAGGACACCTGCGAGGGCTGCGAGGACAGGCGCTCCTCCATGGCGCGACGGTAGGCCAGGATCTGCAGAAATAAGAGATTTTGTTACATCCATCCATCTAACTGAATACATCAATATTGACTTTTAAAGGCATAAAGATCACACACGACCAAAAACGACTTGCACTTAAATATGCAAGTAGGAATGTAAAAAGAAAGAAAGAAAGGAAACATAAGGCACCAAATGCATCGCATTATGCAACATGGTCCGCCTCCTGCACTAACCTGCTGCCGGTCAACGTATCTCGGGTCCTCCTCCTGTGCCGCCTGCTGAGTCGTGTTCTCCGGCCCCTCCCTCAGCAGCGCGTAGTCGCCAGCCTCATCCTCCGATTCCGAGAGCGTGGAGGCGCGGCGGTAGGTCGACTTCTGTGGCTTCGGCGACTTGTTGACCCGCGCTCTCCTGTGGGGAAGAAGTTGTTATAAAAACTTTCCTTGCGGGGACGAGGTCAGTTAGCTTTCCCGGGGGACGGTGGTTGTCTTAAAAGTTATGATGATCTTTCCGTTTTCTTGTAAGGAGAGGGTTGATATAAACTGTCCGAGGGGAAGCGGACTGTTATAAGAAGCTATCCGAAGGGGACTGCTCATTTCAGAATAATCAATCAGATTAAGAATCGAGAAAAAAAATCTTTAAAAATCTGTTCCAGCTCACCTTGGCGACGTCATGATCCCTGCCTCGTCGAAGGTGACCTTGGCCCGCGGCGACATGCTCTTGCCGGGGGGGAGCGCGGGCTGCGTGGGCCTCAGCCAGTAGATCTCCTCCTGGTGGCCTCGCGCGCGCTTGTCCTGGTGAGTGGACGAGGGAAAGTTCGTTAGAGCCGAGTGATCAAGGGCAACTTCAGAGGCGCAGCTCTGGTATCTAATGCGTGTCGGCGAACTTAACAAACTAAAACCATGGGAATAATATGTACAATGTAAACATGTACATACATACATACAACATATATATATGTATATTATACATATATACATATTATATGAAAGTATGCCTAGATGTAAGCATAAAACGAGATCTCACCTTCTGAACAACACTCATGATGCTCTTTTTGGGCGTGGCGTCCGTGATGGCATAGGCCTTCCCGGCGCCCACGACCAGGAGGGCGTGTGGGCGTGGCTGGGGTCGTTGGAGATCAGCTCGACGTCGTTCACGAGCTTGATGGAGCGGGCGGAGGCGACGCACGCGCGGGCGACCGTCACGCGCAACTTGAACTCCCACTTGGACTGTTTGCGGCGAGGGCAACGCGTTAGCAAAGTCTATCTATTTATCTATCTAATCTGTACATGTATCTTTATATACATACATACATACATGCATACATACATATATACACACATACACACACGCACACACACACATTATATATATATAATATATTATATATATAATATATATATATATATATATATATATATATATATATATTGCACTGTGAATATATTCTTTCTCACTCATACGGTTCCTCCTTCCTCTCACCTTGACCGTGAGCAGCAGCCACACCACGATCCACAGGAACAGATGCACGATGGTCCCGATGACGGCAGCGAGGACCACGGCGTCGAGGGAGCCCCTGTACACGAGGAGAGGTCCCACAGGAGCGGCCCGTGGGACAGACCCAGGCGACCAGGGCACGAGGGCGGCGCGTGAGGGGCGTACGGCGGATCTCGTAGGCTCGTTTGTCGTACTGTGGGCGTAGATGGACAATTAGCTTGCTTTTATGTAAACAATAATGATGTAAACAATGGTACGGTTATTTCCCCGCTATTAGCATTAATTATGCCTGATACTATAGCTGTGAATTACAAGAATCACTATCACTTGCTGATGCCATTAACACGCTCTTCATTATCATCACTGACGTTGCCAACTACCAATATTACGGAAACAGGTCAATAACTATCGTTATAACACCAATAAACTATTTTTTCCCCCCGTGATCCCTGACCTTCACCATCTAGTCCTAAATGGAAGGTACCATTTTTTCCCCTTGACAAAAACGATAAGAAAAAAGTGAGAAAATAGGGGAAAAACCTCAGGTAGCCCGAACCAGAGTCAATATTACCTGATTACGTGATTAAGCGAGGTAACAGTTAGGAGCCCTAAACGAACTGGGAAAAAAATCTCTTTGTCCATTAATGGAAACAGGCGTTATATATATAGTAAATGTGGATTGAGATGAGAGAGAGAGAGAGAGAGAGAGAGAGAGAGAGAGAGAGAGAGAGAGAGAGAGAGAGAGAAGAGAGAGAGAGAGAGAGAGAGAGAAGAGAGAGAGGAGAAGAGAGAGAAAGAGAGAGAGAGAAAGAGAAAGAGAGAGAAAAGAGAAAGAGAAAGAAAAGAAAAAGCAAAAAGAGAAAGAGAGAAATAGAACTCACCGTGATGTGGAATCGCTGCTTGCTCTTGATCAAGAAGCTATTGAACTTCTGGTAGCCGTAGAAGTAGATGGCGGAGGAGGAGACCGTGACCACCATGACAGCCACCAGCATGAGGCCGACGGTGGCAGGCAGGTTGAGCAGGAAACTCTCGGCGCCGTGGAGCTCCTTCTCGGGTCCGCAGACGTGGAGCTTTGGGAGGAAGGGGAGAGTCAGTCGATTCTTAAAAGTGATTTGTATAGTTTTGGGGAGATGGAGTAAATAGGTCTATTCTTAAGAGTCTTTTTTATATATATTCTGTTATCATTATTCACTCTTTCGACTTTCTAACTAAAACATTGTAGGGACGAAGGAAAGAATAGGTCTATTCTTAGAGTATTTTTTATATCCTCCCTATCATTATTCACTCTTTCCCCTTTCTAACTGAAACAATGTATCAAGGACATGTAAGTTCCATCTTCCTCTTGAATGAAAATAGTTACCCTGGAAAAGAAATCCGTTAAAAGTTACACTTACCTTGTAGAGGATGTTGAAGGCCGCAAGGGTGAGAATGGTGTGCACGCCGTTAACGACCAGCTGAAGGGAGAACAGGATGCCAAAAGCCTTGTTAGTGTGCCAGAACACCGACGGGTACCTGCAGGGAGAGGGGGGAGGGGTGAGATCGACAATCAAACGAGAAAAGAAAGATATATTTTCTTCTCTTTTTGCTGCTTTTATTTGTTTATACATATAAATGTATGTATGTACTGGTATGTTGTGTGTGTGTGTGTTGTGTGTGTGTGTGTGTGTGTGTGTGTGTGGGTGTGTGTGTGTGTGTGTGTGTGTGTGTGTGTGTGTGTGTGTGTGTGGTGTGGGTGTGGGTGTGTGTGTGTGTGCGTGTGTGTTGAGCAGAGCACCCACCTGATAGCGAAGACCAGCAGCGCGACGGCGTAGTTGAGCAGCTCGGGCGAGACGGGCTCCACTCCGCCGTTCTCCGGCAGGCGGGCGAAGGACTCCTCCGGCAGCGCCTTGGGCAGCGCCTCCTCACGGGTGACGATGGGGCGCGCGGAGTCCGTGGGCGGGCGTGGGCGGCGGCGACGGCGTGTGGGGGCTGATGGTCACGTTGGCGCCAGCACGGCCACGCGGTCGTTGTGCGGCACCAGGAAGTCCAGGTCCGTGCGCCAGATCTCTTCTGCGGGGAAGACGACTGAGGTTAGCGGCGGGGGAAGAGGAATCATAAAAGCTTCATGAAAACTAAGAGGATATGGTTAAGGGGGGAAGAGGATCCATAAAAACCTTCATGAAAACCAAGAGGAAAGGATAATGTTTAGGCGAATAGCAATCATAAACTCTTCATGAAAAGTATGAGGAAATGGCTAGTGTTAACGGCAGGGAAGACTATTTCTAAAACCTTCATGAAAAAAGAGGAAATCCAAATGTTATGTCGGGTTTAGAGCGTGAGGTGAGTGCAGGAAAAAGGAAAAGAAAAATAATAAGGAAAAGGTATATATCATATTCTCTATTCACACACACATACACACACACTACCACACATCACACCACACACACACAAACACACACACACACACACACACACACACACACACGACACACCCACACACACACACACACACACACACAACACACACACACACACACACACACACGCACACACACACACACACACACACACCACACACACACACATTAATAATTATGTAATAGAAATTCCCCCACGAAAGCTAACGTCCCTTGCAATCATAAATATCAAGGTGATGAAGGCCATATTTTCCCGGGGAAAAAAAGTAAACAATAACACGTACGCCTCATAGAGAAGGCCCAGTAAACACCAAAGTAAACAAAGTTAGCAAGGGTAAATATTGACGCCTCCCCCCCCCCCTCCCCTCTCTCTCACCCCACGTATTTACCGGTAATAAACAGGGTTGCTGACACGATACCTCGATAACAAGCAAATAACAACCCTAATCATTTGTGGCAATTGCTAATCATCAATCCAGGTGTAATGCGATAGACACATTGGCTCCCCCCCCTTCGTGAAGTCAGGTGCTGATCTACCGTTTTTGAAAGAAAAAGAAAAACGTGAACAAAGAGTAATAAATTATAAAGACAAATGTGGTCAAACAAAAGGAAGACTGGAGAATAGATGAAAGAAAAAATAATAATAAATAATAAAAAGTAAGAAATAGATGAAAATCGAAAATAAACTAAATCAAATATAAAAGTCTACCTTTTTGAAAAAACGTAAAGAAAATGAAGTAAACTAAATACAAATACGATGAAGGCAAAAAAAAAGAAAAAAAAAGAAAAAGAATGAAATACAAAAAAATAAAAAAAAAAAGATAAAAAGTCGAAATAGATGAAATCATTATCAAAATTAAAAACAAACCAAATAAAATATAAAAGTAAACATGATAGCGTGAGCATGGAGCAAATATTTGTTTTGTTGCCTACACTATCTTGTTTCCTTCGCCTGGGAAACGAGCTTAATGAGAGGTTCGCACGCATACGACTTCTCTTCACGAGCATCCAAGGTTTTAACACACTGACATGGTAACAAATATTCACGACATTATCCTTTATCCGGACTTTCACTTTGGGATATGACACTTGCCGCTTTTTTTTCTCTTTCTTTTTTTCTGTTCGCACGGAGAAGCCAAAATTTCGAGCTAATATTCAAGGGAAGGTGAAAGGATTTCCGGACTTTTCCTCGCCTCTCCCTCCTGCAGCGGCTGCAAAAGGAAGCTTTGACGGGAGGGTCAAGGAGAGCGGAGGGATAAGGCGGGTTAAGACCTTCTGCCCACAAGCGAAGACCAATACCGGGGGCTAAGCCTTGGCGGGAGGGAGGGGGAAGGGAGGGATAGTGACGGGGGGATGGGGGGAGGCAAGGTGTTTGCCTTCCTCTCTTGCAAAGGAAAAGCCTCGCAAGGTGCGCCCCGTGTGTGTGCGTAAATTACCGAGCTTGCACGAACCCAGATGATGACCGGGCAGGGAAGGACGGAGAAAAGGAGGGGGTAGAGCGGAGAAGGCAGGGGAAGAACGGAGAAAGAAGGAGGAAAACGGAGATGGAAGGGTGAACGAAGAAAGGGGGTAGGAGGAGGCAGAAAGAAAATAAACCTTTTTTCCTTCGCGCTGGCAAAGGTGTCCCTCGCTCGCACGTGGTTCGTCCAACACACTTAATTTGGGGATTCGAGACTGTGGCTCCGGTAAGGCAAACCCAACTTCTTCTTACCTGTCACGTCAACCAAACATAAAAATCTATTTTGGGTTCACTCGGCGCATAAAGACAAAGTCATTACGAACCAATCAAGCTCTTCAAAGTCAACTTCCTCCTGCGGGTTATTTGGTCATTTAAGGCTGAGTCAGCGTCAGTAAACATAAGACTCGAGGCTGATCGAGGAGCGGGGAAATCGTCCTCCTTTGGCCTCGGCTTTCGACTTGGGCCTCGTCTTGGCTAAGGAGGGTCGGCGGAGTTTTGCGGAAGGC